CTTCCTCACTGATTTACCTGGTTATGGGGGAGGAGGAAACGCTTCCCTCACCTCAGGGCTCTCCTCGCACGCTGCAAGGCTGGTGGAACCCTCAGGGGTGACAGGACACGAAGAAAACTCCTTCTCCAGCCAGAAAGAACCTTTCACATAACCTCAGCATTTCCTCAACCAGCTTCAGCCCATCCTGCTCAGAAAGCCCAAGTACACATTTTCCAAAAATCCTGCTAGCCCTTGACAGAATAACCCAGCCTTTTGGGATTCCAGACCCCCGGGTGTGCCCTGGTCCCACACAGCAAAGATGTGGATTCTGCCTCCCCCACTCACTCCTACATCACGAGGAAGGAATAATAGTGGAAAGCAATGCCAAGATGCTTGAAGACCAGGCTGGACAAGCCCTGCAGGCTGCTGTAAATCAAACGCAGCGGGCTGCCAGCCACAAGGCACTCACAGGGTCACGGCTCGTGCGTTTTCTCATGAAACACTGACACAAGTTTTGCTGCAAGGTGGGAGCAAACAAAAACCCCTAAATGCCATCCGGCTGCAGCGTCCTGCTCCCAGAGCCTCCGTTCACATCCCCCTTTTCTCGTCTGCACGAGAACCTTGTTCTCCTGCTTTTATCTCCGGTTCCTGCAGCTGGTTTCCCTGCGCTTGGCTCTCCTCTGGGACCTCTCCAGCTCCTCTCCTACACCCGTCCCACGCTCTGCACCCCGGCCCTGTCCCTGTCCGTGTCCCCATCCCATCCCCGCTGTCCTCCCGAGTCCTGTCCATGGATGTCCCCAGGAGCAGCGGCCCCGTGCCCCGCTGCCTGCTGCCCCGAGGACGCGGCGGGCAGCCCGGGGGGTGGCTGTCCCGCTGTCGCACCTACCAGCAGCGGCGACCAGCAGGCCGAGAGCACGCACATGATGCCCAGCAGCTGCAGCAGCGTCTCGGTGGCGATGCGGCCCCACCGCGAGCCGGGCTGCGCCGCGCCGGCCTTGGCGCGGCAGCGCGACACCAGCGCCTCGATGGTGGCCAGGTTGCATGCGCCGGTCACCGCGAGGGACAGCAGCCCCAGCGCGGCGAAGGCGGCGGCGAAGGCGCTGCCGCCGGCCGTGCTGATGAAGCACCAGGTGCCGGGCCACTGCAGCGCGTAGCGGCCCAGCCCGGCCAGCGGCAGCAGCGCGAAGGCCACGCCGGCGGCCCAGATGGCGGCCAGGCCGCGCTCGGTGGCCCGCGGGCTCATGTGGCTGGCGTACCAGTGCGGGGCGCGGATGGCCAGCGCCCGCTCCACGGCCATGGCGCTGGCGATCAGCAGCGGGCACAGCCCGAACACCGTCATGCTGAAGCCGAAGAAGTCGCAGAGGCGGCCCGAGGGGTCCATGGCCGCCCAGGGCCGGCCCGACAGGTACACGGAGATGACGATGGGGCTGGTGAGCAGCTGGCCCAGCATGTCGGTGAGCGCCAGGGAGCCGATGCACAGCAGGAACGAGCGCTTCCTGCGGCTGCCCTTGGCGCGGTAGCTGCGGGACACGAGCAGCATGGCCAGGGCATTGCCCACGACGCCCGTCAGCATCATGGTCAGCGGGATGGCCACGGACACGGCGCTGCCGCGCTCGGCCGCCCGGCCCGTGCCGTTCCCCCGCGGGCCCGGCCCGCCGGCCGCGCTGGCGTTGGGCGGCCGCTGCTGCCAGGGGCTCATCCCGGAGCCGGCAGCTCCCGCATGGAGCGGGCACGGAGCGGGCACGGAGCCGGCAGCGCCGCGCCGCCGCTTTATGTGAGGGACGGGCGGGAGCCGCCCCGGGGCCGGCAGAGGCGGGGCGGGAGCGAGAGAGGGCAGGGCCCGAGGGAACGGAGCGGGAGCCGGGCTGGGCAGGCAACGAGGGAGCTGGGAAGGGCTGGAGAATCCCTGAGGGAGCTGGGAAGGGGCTGGAGAATCCCTGAGGAGCTGGGAAGGGGCTGGAGAATCCCTGAGGAGCTGGGAAGGGGCTGAGAATCCCTGAGGGAGCTGGGAAGGGCTGGAGAATCCCTGAGGAGCTGGGAAGGGCTGGAGAATCCCTGAGGGAGCTGGGAAGGGGCTGGAGAATCCCTGAGGAGCTGGGAAGGGGCTGAGAATCCCAGAGGGAGCTGGGAAGGGGCTGAGAATCCCTGAGGGAGCTGGGAAGGGGCTGGAGAATCCCTGAGGAGCTGGGAAGGGCTGGAGAATCCCTGAGGGAGCTGGGAAGGGGCTGGAGAATCCCTGAGGAGCTGGGAAGGGGCTGGAGAATCCCTGAGGGAGCTGGGAAGGGGCTCAGCCTGGAGCACAGGAGGCTCAGGGGGCCCTTGTGGCTCTGCACAGCTCCTGCCAGGAGGGGACAGCCGGGGGGTCGGGCTGTGCTCCAGGAACAGGGACAGGAGCAGAGGGAAAGGCCAGGGGAGGGTCTGGGTGGAGATCAGGGTAAGGTTCTCTCTTCTTCCAGAGGGAGCTGGCACTGCCCAGATCCCAGGGAATGGGCACCGCCCCGAGGCTGCCAGAGCTCCAGGAAAGTTTGGATGCTGCCAGGGATGCCCAGGGTGGGATTGTTGGGGGTCTGGATCAACGATCCCTGTGAGTCCCATCCAGCCCAAGATATTCCATGATTCTGTGAAAACACCTGGAAGTTTTATAAGTTTTTTCCTGTTGAAATTAAAAATTATTTTTAAGACTTAAGGGACGGCAATGACACAAACGTGTGGGATACGTGGGCCAGGTGAGCTGATGAGGATCAGGGCCTGTGCAGGTGACAGGGATCAGGGTAGGTGACAGAGACCAGGGTCAGTGCAGGTGACAGGAATCAGGGTCAGTGCAGGTGACCGGGAAGTCTGAGTGTCCCCAAAACAAAGCACTCGAGCACAGTTGACTCACAGGTTTTATTTACACTTGTCTACAGCATCATTTTGCCTTACACGTTCTCTAAGCCAAATGAACCATCCTCCTCCTCCTTTGCCTGTGGCCTATCAGTTGCTAAATTTAAAACCTCCCATCTGTTAAGTACAGCAACAATTGGAATACAAAGCACAAGAAAACCCAAGGCTAACAACAGAGCGTCTACTTGATCTGGTTTTACAGTTTAGTTGGACGTTGAAGTCAGAGGCACAGTTACAGACTAACCTGCTCTTGTGCAACCTACACACATTTAGCATGGAAATTAGAGAGAAAATAAAGCATTAAAGAAGAAACTGCATTTTTTTCTGCAAAGAGATTTATCAAAATACCTCTACACCAAAAACATTTTGCTTCTAGACCAGTCCGTAAGACGTGGCTCAAAAAAAAAAAAAAGAAAAAAAAAGAGAAAAATAAAGCAAAATGGAGTTTTTTGATTTTGCTCCGTTTGTTTCTGTGCAGTTTATCAAAACAAGCAGCAAATCTGGCAGTTTTATTACTGAAATAAATGAAGGTATATTGCTCTTTGCTTGCTTAAAAAGAAGAGTTTTCCTTACCATACTTACCTTGTGATGGCACTGAACCTTTCTTAACCAAACGGAGCTCAAGAGAGACCAACCAAGTTTTATACTCAAATGGATTCCATAAAGCATTTTAAGCCATAAATTATGTTGAAGGGAAAAAGAATGACCGATGAAGAAGACGTTGAAGATGCCAGAACTTTCTACGCAGTTTATTCATTCTCATTTTTTAAAGAAAAATAAAATTAAGATACCTTGAAAATTTTAGTCAGCCCCAATGGAAATTTTAGAGGCGGCCTGCGGAAGCTTCCCTTGATTCCAAGGAGCCAGTTCCATACTCCTCCAGCCCAAGAGCAGATCCCAACCGCTCCGTTTGGAAGGAGGGATCCCGGAGTCCGGGCTCTGGAAACCACCACAGCCACAGCACCGTGCTGGCTGCAAACGTCCTCCCTTGCCAGGAATGAGGCTAATTCCCTCTGGAATCATGATGGACTGGGGGTTTGAGCTGCTAGAGAGGGGTGTCCATCTGCACTGGCACTGCTACGTGGCAAAACAAAAACTGCTCAGCCCAAGGCCCCACTGCTGGCCCCAGGTGCCCCAGCCCTGTCCCTGCTGTGGTCCCACGGGAGCTCCACCCTGCTCTGGAAAACTCACAGCTTCCTCCTCGCACAAAGAGCTGTGCCAGGACATTCCCAACCTGCTCCTCCAGCTGAGGGAGCCAGGAATGGAGGAACTGATCTTGAAAAATAACAAACCCCCCCCGCCCCCCACACCACAGAACTTCCCCCTGTGCCAGGGAGTTTATGGCTTAAAATGCTACTGCGGGTTTGGGTGATGGATGAACAAAGCTGCAGTTTGCCAGAAAGCCAGGACAGACATGCACCTCTACTAGCAGATTGAGCACTTCTGACCAAGTAAGACACCAACTTCTTAAAAATGTCTCATGCACTGACTGGAATTTTGGTGGGTTTTTTTAAGTGTGAGCTTTTACACATTATTTCTTTTTAGAACTTGTACGGGAACCAGAATGGGAGGATCCGGAGGAAGATCTGCGGCGTCTGCAAGATACAAATGGAGAAAGCATGCACAGAAATGAGCTCAGATTCATCCTGGCACCCACTTTGAGCAGCATCCTACCATAGCTGGAAGCCAAGTATATCTCATGGGGGCCTCACAAGAATATACAAGTAAATTTAAGCCACTAATTTAACACTAGAAGTCTAAGTTTAATACTGAGAGTAGAATACAGTTTCTATTTCAATGCAGTATTTACTTTAAGAAAATAATTCAATAATGAACACATTAACACTGTCACACACTGAAAGAAGGGTGAGCCAAGTCTTTATACAGAACATGCTCCTACCAGGAGGACTTTCATTGGAGGGGGGAAAATTATTTTAAAAAAAGCAATTACAGAGGGGTTAACAAAAGTAAGAGTAGGGCAAGTGAAGAAACTACTTTTACTATGAGAATAACTGCTCAGATTCAATTGCTTCCCAGCGAATCTCAGTCCTTGGATAACTACAATAAACCATCACACATCTCAATACAGCCATTCTTATTCTACATAAACCCAAACCTTTCGGGTGACCGTGATCTCGAGCGCCTTTTTTTGCGATCACCAGAGGAAGAGGATCTAGAGCGGCTTCGCTTCTTGCCTCTCTCGGGGGAAGACGAGGAGCGAGAGCTGGAGCAAGATCTTTTCCTTGGGGTGGAAGACCCCCTGTAGGACCTGGAGCTGGATCTTTATTGATTGAGAAATAAACCACATTTAATTCTGGGATCATGGAGAAGGCACAAAGACAGAACAAGCAGAGACAGTTTTCATGAACATTCACTACTCTGTTTTCTCCAGGGGCGTGGGAAACAAACACGAGGGGCTTCCATACTTACTCTGCCAAGAACACTGCTACTGCCAGGGCAGCTGGCCTAAGAAACTCTGCTAAGTAGTGTTTCCTGATAAATGGACCACCAATGGTTTGGAAAGCTCTCCCCAGCATTCACCAAAATGAGCCATTTTGGCAAAAAGGCGCTGGGAGACTGCTGGGAAGTTGCCTCTGTAAGGACCATCCTCAGCAGTTACATTCACACATCAGAATAACCTGGAAACCAGAGATCTAAAGGTGATTTACAGTGGTTCACTTTATCCTAATGGACATTTCACACTGCATGATCATCTGACCAAACAGCAACAAATCCAGCTGTTGTATTTACAGATCTCAAACTACGTTTGTGAAGAGACTAAAGCCTTCCTCAACCAAAATACGGCAAAAAGCCTCTTGGAATAGTCAGAATATTTAAAAACATCTCTTGGAACACAGTGCCCCTCTGGTGGGGCACAGGGACACCTTTCCTCTTCCCAAAAGCATGGATTCCATCCTGTGCTGACCCTCAGGGGATAATCCACAGCACGTTCCTGCCCCCAAGGGGGGATGGCAGCATTTGTGATCCTTCTTCCCAACCCAAGCTTCCTCACTTAGAGTTTTGTGATTCTCTGCATGCATGGAGAAGGGACAGCCCTTCATTCCATCACAGAGGGAATGTTCTGCCAACGGAATGCCTGTGCAAGGACACCTCAAATGTGCTTTTGTTCCTGTGCCCTGCCCAGCTCAGTGATGCTCTACACAAATCACTCTGACTGCCCTCCCACCATTTCCTACCAACATTTTCCTGTGATCCCCCAGGTTTACACAGGAATGGCTGCCGTGTCTCGTGGAGGATGCAGAATTCTCACTCAACACAAAACCAGAAGGACAGTGGCATTTCTAATGCTCCTCCAGCTCAAGCAGCCCCAGTGGAAACAGGAAAAGCACCCAAATGCCTGCAGCAGGGAACCATGCACTCAAATCCTTCTTCCTCCACTGCAGCTCGGTGGCGTCCGCTCGTCCGGCTTAGGCCAGACTTAACCTCTCGCACCAAAACCTCTGCTCCTCAGTGAACACAGCTGTGGTGGCAACACCCGGTGCAGAGACCCAGCAAGTCTGACTTCCAAGATAAAAAGCAGTTAATGTTTGTCTGAGCAGCACAGCCTTACGGTGGGGCCAGAGCAGCTGGAGCCTGTGCCCTGTGTCTGTGCAGGGACAGGCTGGTACCTCATTCACCTGGATTTGGACCCACGGGACCGCGACTGTTCCCTGGAGCTGGAGCGGGATCTCGATCTGGAACTGGAAGAACTCCTGGAATGGGACCTGCAACAACACGGGAGATCTTTTTCCAGTGTCTGACTTGCATTTAGCAGAGCTACTGCTCCTGAGAGCAGCAGACACGAGGCAGCAACACAGCGAGTCCTAAAATGCCAATCCCCTCCTGCCCCCAGCATGGCCACACTTTAAACCAGACACTTCTACACAGCAAGGTCTTGCATTAGAAACATTACAAAGTCAGCTTTCGATTATGGTTCCTAAAACAAAGCACAACAATTAAACAGGATTGCAATTACCTGGCAAAAAAGCCAACCTCCTATCTATTCATTATTTAACGAAATCAATGCTTTAATTTGTGCCTTAACTGGAAACCCATCAGTTTCCTTCAAAGGCAGAGCACATGAGAGCATTAGGACTGGTCAGCTCAGTTTCCCCCCAGCCAGTTCTCACAAGCACTTTGTAATCAGCTTCAAATTTTCATGAAGATTTTCCCCTGCATTATAAATTAGGTGGTTAATTTGGGGCTAAAATACTGCCATATCCAACACAACTTGTAACTGGTCACAATTATTTCCCAGTTTTTCACTGATGGATTTTCTCTAAAGCACAAACCACAAGAGAAATTTAACAACGGCAGGAGGCTCCAGCAACCACTGGAAACAAAAGCATTGAAAACAAATTCTAATAATATTTTCAGGTAAAATATATTCTGCTTGCTATCACCCTCTGAGTTTATACTGTTACCACAGCTTTCTCATTTTACTGGGCAGGACACAGTAGTGTGAACATTTGCCAGCTAGGAAATTTCATTTAAACCTTTTTAAAAACCACAAAAAAAGCATCCACAAATCGTAACTGGTATTTCCAATTATCTGCAGCTAAAAGCAAAAAAGTCCAAGAGGAAGCTGAAATCTCAGTTAGGACAAGTTACTTTCTACTTCACTGTTAATATTTGTGAATTAATGACCAAGGTTATGGGCAGGTGAGGTTTTGAGTGTCCTTGGAGCCTCCCAGCTCCACTGCACTCACACTGCTCCGAGCAGTGGGAAGCAGGGGAGGCTGAGGAACAGAAGAGGCAGCAAGAGCCAGCAGGGATGGGGAGAAGCCAAGCCAGAGGCTGGGGCTGGCTCCTGGTTACAGGGGGCTGCAGAACTTTGGCACTGAGAGCACAGAGGGGCAATGATGAAGCTGGGAAGATTAGAAGAAACTTGAACTTTACAGATGTGAATTTAATAAGTGACCCTGGGAGCTTGTTCTGAATTATCAAGATCCTCCTTGCACGAGATGTAAGGCAGCTCAAAAGCTCCAATACTGACATCACCCCATTTCCAAGTACTGACTGAATTGTTCATTTATTACTGAATTTAAATACCAATGAGAGAGCTTCAGCCTGCCCAGCAGACCTTTGTGAGGTCCCCTGTAAACCCTCAGTGTTATTAGAGAGTTCCAGAGTGGTTTGGGTTGGGAGGGACCTTAAAGCTCATCTCATTTCACTGTCCCATGGGCAGGGACACCTTTCACCAGACCAGCGTGCCCCAAGTCCTGTCCAGCCTGGCCTTGGACAGTTCCAGGGGTGGGAAGGTTCTGACAATATTGATGGGAATGTTCTGACAACACTGCCACTGCATTTAAAACTTTGTCACTTGCCATTAACTCAAGTTCAAGTTTCTTGTCTTTATTTCCAGGATATTCCCACTGTGTCCATTCCCTGAATCTGCCTGGGCTGCATTGTCACTGCCTCTTCTGCCACCTCCTCCCACTCCAGCAGTGCCCCCCTCTGTCCAACAACAGAACCACACATGGCCAACGAGCCTGAAAACCTGAAAATAGATTACATTATTCCGTTTCTTTGAAGGATTTCACCAAACATCAACTTAAATCACTAAAACAAGCCACAAGCCCACAGAGCCTCCCTGCTGCAGCTCAGGCAGAGCATCACCACCTCTGTAAAAGGAGAGTTATTCACATCATCACACAACTGTAAGGCAATCAAACAAAGTAAATAAGGAAGTCAGATACTGACATTTTGCCTGGCGTTACCCTGGACCTGTACCCGTTTACCTGGACCTAGACCTTGAGCTCGAGTGAGAGGATGAGCGCGAGGACGAGCGCGAGTGGGAGGAGCGCGACTTGGAGCGGCTGCGCCTCGGCGGCTTCTTCTTCTTGTTGGTGTCCTCCTCCTCACTGGCATCCAGGTTGTACTTGGACAGGTCAGCATCATCTTCATCCTCATCCTGGCACAGGCACAACACAGCAAACTCAGGCCATGCTTTGAGCTCCCCTTCAGTTTTACTTACTCCAGCCTTTACCTCGTGCTCTTTCCTGGCCTTTGAAAACTGAACGGAATTTAATGAGCCCCCACAATTTTAAGCAGTAAGAGTGACTGAAAATTGGTTTTGAACCAAAGTAATAAAAACCCTGCAACACCCCCCCATTATTTAATTACACATTTTTACCACTTACTTTAAATGAATTTTCACCCTCAGAATCTCTAAGCAAAGCCCAACTCTGCAGAGATCTCATATGCAAAATTTGGTGACTGCTGTGTAAAACACGACCATCTGCACAGGTCTCTGCACAGCTGCTGCCCAAAGATTTGAAAAACCCCTTAAGTGATACTCATGTAGCTCAGAAAAGATGAAAAAACTCTCAGAATATTTTATTTCATTTTAAATAAATCTGATGTGGTTTTAAAAGCCTAGGAAGAAAACTCAAGAGCACTCGCTATACATGGTAACCACACATCCAGGTTCCAAATAAAGATCTTGGAGTTCTGGGTTCTGATCTCAGATAGGCTTGTCCCTGATGATTTAAGGAACTGCCCATTTTTGAGTGCAGGTATTTAGAACAAAGCAGAGCTTGTGCACATCTCTTCCAGCAGCTTTGGGCACTGTTATTGCCAGAGCTCTGCTCTAAAGGCAGCTGAAAACACTGACCAGCCGCTCCCCTGCTCCTGGGCAGCACTGAAATCATGATTAAAAACAGCTTCAAGACAGCAAACCATCCTACCTCATCCAATTTATACTTGGAGAGATCTTCATCCTCATCCTCCTCATCCTCCCCCTCAGATTCCTTATCTTCCACTTCCTTCAGGATGGAGGCAGGACCCACCGGCTTCCCCCGGTACTTTTTCTTTTTGCGCCCAAACTGAGGAATTTTGTGCCAGGATTAGAACAGGATTTAATCAAAACCAACCACCAACTGTATTTTTGATAACACTTCTATAAGAAAATAAATAACCATAAATTTTAAATAGGATCTTGCCCCAAGGGAAAGGGGAGCACTATGGAACATCAATCAGCAACAAGGAACTTTCAAAGAGACGCTCATCTTGGGGACAGTGAGCCTCCAGAGGTGAATGGAGATCTGAGCATTCTGTATTTCAGTTTTATGGGATATCCTTAAATAACACAACAGGATAACAGGGATATCCTGCCCAGAGCAACCCCTGCCCCTCCCTTACCTCATCATACTCCCCGTCAGACTCCTCCCGCTCGATGTATTCCACGTTCTCCCGTTCATTGAATCCTCCTCCATAGCCTAGAAAAAGGGGCAAAGCAACACAATGCCTTCAGCTGCTGGGAGCACACAAACCTGCACAGGGCTCTGGAAACCCTCAGGGAACTATAAATCTGCCATAAGGACGTAACAGGATCTCAGGAGGAACATGAATTGTTCCCACACACGTTTATTAAATGCAGTTTCTCACAAATCTAATTAAAATAATGGATTAGGAACACTAAAAGTATTTATCAACTTAATTAAGTACTAAGTACTTCAATAAGTTATTTAAATAATAAATACGTGGATATATTATTTGCAATTATAACAATTATATGAAATATGATTATATTACTTAATATCCTTTACTATTTTCATAATAATACTGAAATATTGTTTTTCCTTTAGAATAATAAGCTCTGTGCTCTTCTCTAGGTTCCTTTATTTCAGTGCCCTTGTGTTCCACCCTGTGCTCTAAATTCCCAGCCCTGCTCCAGTCTGGCAGTGAATTCCCTGCCTGATCCCAGGTGCAGAGGGGAGTGCAGGAGCTGTAAGGAGATCCTGCCCCAGCTCCCTCAGGAGAGCTGAAACTGAGCCCCAGCCCTCCTGAGCAGATAACAGCCTTATCTACACATGGCCAGCCCACAGAAGGCTTCTGCAGATTAATTAAACATTGCATCCCAAGTCCTGACATCAAGATCCAACACAGGGGCAGCTTAGGCTGGATGTTCCCCAATTTCCCACTCGGAGCCACCACTTCCCTCAGCACCCAAACTCGCTGAGGCCAAGAACAACCTGTACCTTGTATGAACCGTGCCAGCTCAGGGAAAAGAAGGGACGTCCACTCTGATTCCCAGAGCCCTTTGTGCCAGCAGTGCCAGCACCCGAGGCACCCCCAGCTCACCTGTCCTCTCCTCCAGCTTGGCGTACTTGGGGGTGTTGCACATGTTACACTCCGAGCGCCGCGCCCAGTTCACATTGCCACAGCTGCAGGGAGACAGAGACAGGGAAACCTTATCCTTCAGAGTGGGGATCAAACACCCTTCAGGTGGGAATGAAACCTTATCCTTCAGAGTGGGGATCAAACATCCTTCAGGTGGGAATGAAACCTTAACTTCACCCTTCAGACTGGGGATTCAACATCCTTCAGATGGGAATAAAACCTTATCCTTCAGATGGGAATAAAACTTTACCCTTCAGACTGGGGATTCAACATCCTTCAGATGGGAATAAAACCTTATCCTTCAGATTGGGGATCAAACATCCTTCAGATGGGAATAAACACCCTTCAGACTGGGGATTCAACATCCTTCAGGTGGGAATAAAACCTTATTCTTCAGATGAGAATAAAACATCCCTCAGACTGGGGATAAAGGGTCATCCTTCAATCTGTCTGGGAATAAAAGGTTATCCTTGGACTGGGAATGTTATCCTTCAGTCTGGGGATAAAAGGTTATCCTTGGACTGGGAATGTTATCCTTCAGTCTGGGGATAAAAGGTGACCCTTCAGACTGGGAATACCAGGGTGGGGACACAGCACTCGGGAAGGTGACAGCACTGGGCAGATCTGGGGAAGATGCCAAGTCACTGGGCAGGAGCAGGGACAGGAGCACAGCTGCACAGAAGGGCCCTTTCCCAGCTCCCTCAGCCTCTCCTGGGGCTCCAGCCCCTTCCCAGCTCCTTTCCCTGCCTGGGAGGGAAGAGCTGCTGGTGCCAGGCCAGCTGCTCGCTGGAATTGCCACATCCAAGAATCCCAGAGCCACAGCTGCTTTGGGTGTGAAGGGACATCACAGTGCCACCCTGCCCTGGCAGGGACACTGCCACTGTCCCAGGTGCTCCAGCCCCAGTGTCCAGCCTGGCCTTGGGCACTGCCAGGGATCCAGGGGCTGCTCTGGGAATTCCTGTGCCAGGGCCTGCCCACCCTGCCAGGGAAGGCAGCACCTCCCAGCGCCATGGGGGTGGCAGTGCCATCTCCACACTCCCTCCAAACCTGGGCAGTGTCCCAGCTTAGCAAACCTGGCCTTTTTCCTGGGCAGCGCTGCCGTTCCTGCCGCTGTGTTAATTAACACACAGCAAAGGAGCGCTGAGCCCAGAGCACGCCCCGGGGCCGCGCTGTCCCAGCAGCACCGGGAATTCCCAGCGGGAGGCAGGAGCCGTGTGTCGCAGCCTACGTTTTGCACTGCCAGTCGTTGGCGCTGAACAGCCCCCGGCTCTTCTCGGCCAGCGTCTTCCCGATCTCCGTGCCCCCCGCCTTCATCATCTTGGCCTCCGTCGTCTTCTCTGCGGGGACAGACACAAAGCGCCTGAAGCGGCAGCCTCGGAACGTACGGAAACACTTCAGGGTCTTTTACACAAAAACAGGAGCACTTCTCAAACAGCTTCGGGTAACACAGGAATTTTGAGTGCAGTTTTACGGGCAGAAGGAGACGAGGGGCCAAGGCGTGTGCGCTGCCGGGAACTCACTCACCTCTGCCGCATCTGTTACAGCTCGTCCTCCTGGCGAAGTTCACGTTCCCGCACCTGGGCACGGAGCAGAGCACGAGGGCCGCGATTAAGCGGAGCCGGAACCCGCCCAGCGCCGGGGACTGCCCCAATTTAACCCGACTCCGTCCCACGGCAAGAGCCAGCCCCGTGAGGCCGGCCCGGGCCCGTGTGACCCCCCGAGCCGGCGGCCGCGGCTCCCGAGTCCCTGCGCCTGTCCCGCTCCCGGTCCCCGCCTCGCTCCCCGTCCACGCTGCCGGTGCGCCCCGCTCGCTGCCCCGCTCCCGCTGCCGCTCGCTGCCCCGCTGCCGGCCGTGCCCTCACTTCTTGTCGGGGCAGATCCAGTCGCCGTCGCTCACGCGGAAGTTCTTGGTCGCCATCTCGGGCCGAGCCGGGCCGGGCCGAGCGCCGCCGCCACACGCAGGACCCGGGGCCTGCGCCGCGCGGGCTGCCCGCCGCGCGCCTGCGCCCTGCCCCGCCCGCGCGCCTTCCGCTCAGGCAGCGCCGCGGACGCCTCAGCCGCGGCCGCCGGGGGAGGGAGCGGGGAGTGAGAGCGCCCCCTGGCGGAGGGGAGGGAGGGCGTGAGGGGGATCGGAGGGCGGGAAAAGGAAAAAGGGAAATGGGAATGGAAAAGGGAAAGGGAACGGGAAAGGAGAGTGGGACAAGGAAAAGGGAACGGGGCAGGACGGGGCCGTGTGAAGGCGAACAGGCCCTGGCACAGGTGCCCAGAGCAGCCCCTGGATCCCTGGCAGTGCCCCAGGCCAGGCTGGGCCAGCGGCAGTGTCCCTGCCCGGGCAGGGCGGCACTGGGTTTATGGGTTTAAGCTCTGTGTCAGCCAGCCCAGCCCGTGTTTCTGTCTCTGCCCTGCTCTCCCAGCTGCCCGTCCCTCACGGGAAGCTCTGGGGAATTCCCTGCCGGAGCAGCCCGCGGTGCCCCGCACGCCCTCCTGCCACAAACCCGCCGGGCTGGGCCGCTGCCCCTGGCACGGTCCCAGTGACAATCTGATGGGACAGACAGCGCTCAGAGACCTCAGGATCCCAGCCAGGCAACGTCCTGAGCTGCAGGAACCCCAAAGATCACCCAGCCCAGCCCCTGCCCTGCACAGACCCCCCAGATCCCACCCTGGTTATCCCTGGAGCGCTGGCTGTGCCCATTCCCTGGGGATCTGGGCAGGGCCAGCACCCTCTGGGCATGAACCTTTCCCAAAATCTGAAGGACACTTTGGGATGCCGATCGGTGTGGGGGTGTGTGAGTCAATCCGTTATTTAAATAAATATTTTTATTTGGATTAGTGACCCACGCCGCGGTTCGCGGCTGGGTTTGTGCCAGCACAGGGACGCTGTCCTCTGTTCCCTGGGTGTCCCCAGGGCTGTGCCCATCCTCAGTGTTCTGGGATCTCCTTTCAAACCACTCCGATATTCCCCTTTCCTGCTTTTTTTCCGGACTGGGTGCTCAGTGGCCCAGCCTTCCCGAGCCACGTCCATGCTGCGTGTTTGTTTACAGCCAGTGTTACCTTCCCGGCAGTTTTCATCCTCCCTCTCCTTCTTCTAGCCACATCCTGTGGAAAAACCATCTGGGATCTGCCTCTGGAGCTGGTTTTTGTCACTCCCTCTCCGGCTGATGGGGAGATGACCGTGCTGTTGCTGTTTATCTATAAAAGCCTAAAGCAGCTCTGGGGAAGGGCTCTGCGCAGGGGGCCGTGCACATTCCCAGCGGGAATGTCCCCGGTCATCTGGAAGGACAAAGCTGTGTGTCCCTGCTGCCCGGGAAGGGTGGGCAGGAATTTGGAGCGAGAGCATTCCCCGCTGCCGCGTCCTGCCGCAGTCAGTGCAGCAGGTGGCACTTGAGGAACGCGCGTTTCCCGTGGAAAAACACCCGCTTTTTCAGGGATGTTTTAAATGTCAGCCACTTTATTCTTTTAAATCAGAAACACCACCGGTGTCACCGTGCGGGGCTGGCCCCGGGACCGAGCAGGGGTTCACCTCGGGCTGCTCCTGGTGCAGGACACGGAGCTGTTGGATGCAGCAGGAGCAGCAAAACTATTAATTTTATTCTGCAAATGTATTCATTTTATTCTGCAAAAGGATTAATTTTATTCTGCAAAACTATTAATTTTATTCTGCAAATGTATTAATTTTATTCTGCAAATGTATTAATTTTGCTCATGCAATGCAGCTGAAAATCCTAAGTAATTAAGAAAAAAGGGTCTGCAGAAAAGCAGCTGCTTTACAGTTGGCTAAAAACCATCTCAGTTTAAGCCAACTAGACAAACGATCTTTTTTACCACGCCAGTGCAAGCCATTGATCCATTTTAATAATCTCTTCTTACTTAAAGCTCTTTCCCATGAAAGAAATGTAACAAAACTTTGCCTCCGGCCAGTGGGATATTCCCAGTATTCCCTGCCTGCTCCTGGCCAACAGGCACCACCAAAGGCTCCATTCCCAGGTGCCTTTAGGGAAAAGCCTTTCACAGAATGGCAATATCCATCAGAAAGTGTCGTGCCAGGGGGAGCAAACCTGCCTGGGGAGTAAATGAATGACTGATGGAAGGGGTTCCTCTGCTGGGATGTCCTTCTCTGTACCAAAAAATGTTGGCTGAGCAGGAGTGTCGGAAGGAAATCTGTGTGCTAAACCCTGCTCATTTAATATTTAGGAAATTTAATGGCATTCCAGGGCAGTTTGGGTTGGGAAGGACATTAAATCCCATCCAGTGCCACCCTGCCACGGCAGGGACACCTTCCCCTGTCCCAGGTGCTCCAGCCCCAGTGTGCAGCCTGGCCTGGGATCCAGGGACACTGCCAGGGACCCAGGGGCAGCCACAGCTCTGATTAAAAGCTAAAAAGCCAACTGGGAACTGAAAAATAGCCCCAAACTTTAAATTTATTAACCAAAGCCCAAGTGGACACAGGGGGGACCTGGAATTCCCAGACACGATCCAGTGTTCACTCCTGTGACTGTCCAGGATATTCCCTTTACTGAGGGAGCAGCTTTGCTCTTGGATTTCTGTTGTGCTGCTCCTCTTTTCCCGTGTTCCTCCCACAAAGCTCCATTTAAATATCTTCCCCCGGTATCCCAATAGCTTGTGAACACTTTTATTGGATTCCTGTTTCTATCACAGCACATTTGGCCTTCAGACGAGGCTGAGGAATTGATAATAACCCGGTAAATGAGAAATACATCAGCCATCATTTTACCATAATGAAAGCGAGCAGTTGAGAATGAATCAATGTGCAGAAAACTGTTTAATTGGCCCAGCTCTAGACAGCCAATTCCTACCAACGAGCCCTGAAAATCAGTTTCCTGAAGAAAAACTAAACGGTACAAAGGCCAGGAAGATCAAAGGCAGGTAATTAAAGGAAGGTTGTGCCTGCAGCCCTTCCCAGCCCTTCCCGGGGTGCTGCCTTCGTGCCACGCTCTTCACTCAGCAGCTCAGGGCTCCCGGGTTTTTAAGCATCACTTTAAAGCACTTAATACATTGTTGATGCCTTCCAAGACACAATAATAATAATAATTTCAGCCCTGGGAGTTAAGGAGCAGCGCTTCCAGCAGGGCGAGCTGGCTGCGGTGAGCCTGCTGCTCTGAGCTGCTGGGATTGCAGCGGGCAGGGGGGCTGGCTGCTCCTGGGATAACCAGGATGTGGGATGTGGGATGTGCTGGGCACTGCAGGTCCACAGGGCCTGAGACCCTCCAGGTGTGGCTGCTGGGGGATCCCAGCGGGTGCAGGATGCCCATGGTGGTTTGTTCTGGTGCCACGTTTGCTTGTGGAGCTCTTCAAGCAAGTGGTGAGGTTTGGATTTAGAGCAGAGATCGGGCAGGAATTGTTCCCTGGCAGGGTGGGATGGGATGCTGGGAATTAGGAATTGTTCCTGGCAGGGTGGGATGGGATATTGGGAATGAGGAATTGTTCCTGGCAGGGTGGGATAGGATACTGGGAATTAGGAATTGTTCCTGGCAGGGTGGGATGGGATATTGGGAATTAGGAATTGTTCCTGGCAGGGTGGGATGGGAGACTGGGAATTAGGAATTGTTCCTGGCAGGGTGGGCAGCCCTGGCACAGGAATTCCCAGAGCAGCTGGGGCTGCCCCTGCATCCCTGGCAGTGCCCAAGGCCAGGCTGGACACTGGGGCTGGAGCACCTGGGACAGTGGCAGTGTCCCTGCCATGGATGGGCTCTGAGGTCCCTCCAGCCCCATCCATCCTGGATTCCATGATGATTCCAAGCTGTTGTGCTTTTGCAATGATCTCCTTCAATGTGTGACCTGTGCAGAAGTCAGACCCTGTGTGGCATTCATTGATTTAATAATTAAGGAACAATTCAAGCAGGCTGAGCTCGCATCAAATGACAACAGAAATACTTGAAATAATATTTAAATGTATTTTAGTCAGGGTAGAGCTGGCAAATGTCCACTGAGCCCTGGTTCTGTGGGGGAGGATGTTCTGAACACAGGGCACACAGGGGTCACACACGTGTCACACATGTGCCACAGCCATGTCACTCACGTCACATGTCACTCATGTGTCACACACACGTCACACCCATGTCACACAGCCCAGGGCCCGGCTGATTCCCAGGGGGATGTGGCATTCCCATCCTGCTGCTGGAGGTGCTGAGGGGGTGATGGATCCCAGACCCAGCTGCCTTGGCTGTGGAAGTTTGCGTTTCCCACCAAGCTGCTCCTAAAGGCGTTTGTCCCTGCTCTGCCAGCATTCCTCTTTTTGTGTGCCGTTGGGGAGGCAGCAGTGGGGAATACTTCCAGCAGTGGAAGCCCCTCGGCTGTCAGAGGAGGAGCCTTCCCAGCTCGCCCCGGGCTCGGCTCAGAGCTCTGCTCTCCCCAGCCCCTGGCAGCCCTGATCCCGGGATAACAGGGGATTTCAGCAGGAAGGGATCACATCTCAGCACATCCCGCTCCCAAGCAGCAGCAGCACGCTCTGCCCTGCCTTCATCACTGACAGAGCCTTCCCTGCAGCCTCAGGCTGATGGAGATGTGGGATTCTCTCCAGCAAATCCCCCTGGCAGGGGCTGCAGGGCTGGGGCTCGCTCAGGGATCAGCCAGTCTCAGGATGCTCTTCACTCCTCTGACAGGGACATCCAAACCGGCTTGCCCTCAATTCTCTTGGCCTTGGCAGCTCAGCCTAGGAGTCTCCTGGAGCCACAGGAGGTCGGGTTTAGGTTTTTAAACTCAGTCTTCAAAGCAGATGGGGAATGAAGCCGAGTTTTCCTCGTTTCAGAAGTCACCGAGCTCTTCCAAACCACACCAGCCTGTGCTTCTGAGCTTATCCAAGAAACTGCTCTGTGCTTCTCGCTGCTGTTTTCCTCTCGCTTTTCCTTTTGTTCCCCTCCTCTGGGATGCCTTTCAGGAAAGGACTGCAGGATTCCCCTCTGGAATCGGAGGAGTCTGTCAGACAGCAGAAACAGCACGAAATCCTGTCATCTGTTCCTTTTCCAGCATGGTGCAGATCGTTCCG